TGATAATTACAGGGTTCTTTAAATAGCAATGAATAGGAAATAATTAATTATAAGAAAATCGCTATGAAATTCTGATAAATGTCTATGGTTATTTGTCTTTGAGGAGCTTCACAGTGAACTTCAGGGACAGTTTGCCTGTAGAAATGTTACAGAATAAAGCCGATAAGTTTCAAGAGGCTGGCAGTGATACTGTTTGTTTAAAGCTGGAAACCTTTTATGTTAAATAAGTGGGGTGGATAAATCACATTTTCCAAATTGTAATTCTAAAGTATACACCGTGTGTATGATTTTTTTAATCTAAAAATCGCGAATTTTAAGTCAATAAAGAAAAAGGAAAATATATTTTATAATATCATCAATAGCCATATCGGTTCCGGACAAGCGGCTGATGTTGCAATAGCGAAAAAAGAAAATGATTAACGGGAGACATTGGTATTTTTTTTTTAACTAAACAAAAAAAGAAACATCGTTCTGCCCAACAAGTAATGCAAAGATTCTAAATATCTGATAATGGTTCTGTAGCAGGCAATAAAATAATTCTGACCCCGGTTTAAATGATCCCACATGTGTACAGACAATATATGTATTGCTCGCAAGGGATGGCGCAAAGCAGGAGAAAGCTTTGAAACTTCTACCTCTTTTTGTGAGATTCTTGAAATCTGAAATGCGTTTCACCGCTGCCACTTCATGTATCGTTTTATTCTCCACATTTATAACTTCCTGATCAAGGCATATCAAAAGCGAAAGTTACCGTTGATTTACGCAGTCCCATGATGCAATTGAGATGCTTTTGTTTATTTGATCGCTTGTATATATATTTTTGTATTCTTTGGAACTGTTTTCTTGTCAATACATTCTAATCGGAGATGGGGCGCGTTAAAAAAAATGTGTGTAAATGCTCTAAGAATACCAGAGCGCACATGACTATATTTGCAGCGGCCAGCTGGATACAGGGAAACCGACGTTACTTCTGTGATCGGCGTGACATTCCCACCAACCACCGGCCTTGGAGTTTACCGACCGCCGTGAAAGCGTCAGTATTTGTAGTGTTCGGGTTTGCTAAAGGTCCGGGATGTAGGAACCTTAAACCTTTGTTTCGTGTTTCCGTTCGGTACTAAAACAGACGGACACTCCAAACACTGAACTGGGAAACACTGCACTGGCTTTGGGTTCGGGAAGCGGGTTGTATTTCTTTTAAGACTGCGATTAATTATGGAAGACCAAGAGATGCAGCTTAAAGTAAAGCGAGGTAAGTGATATTTCTAAACGGCTTTTTCAACAACTGAGAGCATAGCATTTGCAAATGGGATTGGGAATTGGGTTACCTTTCTTGATACGTCCCAGGCTAATTCAGTTTCCTGTTTGGGGAATATTTTTAAAATCGCTGTCGTCTTTGAATTGATCAAACCGACCTTGCATTTGGTATCGACCCCCTACCAGCTGATATAACTTCAATTTGTTGTACGTAAAGATAACGACGCTCATCGTGGCTGTATCTGATACAGAGTCATTCTTGCCTGTGTCTGTTCGTCATCAATTAATCAACAGTATAGTCAGAAATTATGGTTAACAGGCTGAGAGGGGCTATATGAAGTTATGTGAAACCGTGAAACTGTACCCTTGAAGTAGTATATTTCTGACACTCCGGACTTACCTGTGAGTTACCTGTAGGGAGCTGGCAGATTATGTGCAATTGTAGTGCAGAGCGAGGTGCGTGTATGTATTGTTGCATGTCTAGGACTATTGTTTGTTTTTAATGTCTATTTATTTTATGCGGAGTGTTATTTTTTGTAGTTTTGTCTGGTGATGCTCGAATGTCCACCCTTTTGGACGGGCAATAAAATGATGTCATATCTTGTAGAGGTTGCTATAGCATTAGCGAGGGATGGGCTGTACTGTACCTGCACTGCCCAGGCAGAGGTAAGAGCCAAGAGGAAGACGCGTGTTTTGAGCTGTTTGTTTCTGCCGGCCCAGTGACGGACAAGTTCACCGAGAGCATGTACGTGCTGGGCAACGAGCCCTCGGTGGCGCTGTACCGCCTGCAGGAGCACGTGAGGAGGTCCCTGCCGGAGCTCGTGCAGCACAAGGTGAGCCGCCGGGGACGTGTCCGGGCTCGGTTCGCGTGAACGGTTTCAGAACGGTTTTGGGCTCTATTCGACTGGGAAAACGCTGGGACATTGCCTAACCGCACCGATTGGGTGACCCGCCGGGAAAAAAGTTCATCTGCGACCCTGCGATCCATCAGTTTATTCTGCATATCCGTTGTTGTCATTATTGATCAAGAAAACGTGTCGACCCGTGGAAAATGCAAAAAAAAATCGGGGCTAAATAATTTAATTGGCACTCGCATTATTACGTGAGAATCCCTCTTAATGTGCTTGAGGTATCTTGTGTTGGGTTCAGTGGTTTATTCTGTGCCTTTATATGAAGTGCGTTAGGCACCTCAGACGTAATGAAGCTCAATGTAAAGGTTATTCTGTATATGGTTGTCACCACTGCTATTGTTCTATAATCAACACTGTGTGATGGTGGCTATTTCTGTAAATTAAAAAGGCCGAAACTCCTTAAGGCAATGATCCCTACAAACTGTTTCCGGTTTTACAACAGGGGTGTCAAACTCAGTTCTTGGAGAAACCAAGTTCTGACCCTTGTTCCGAAAGCAGTTGTCAATGAATCTCTTTCCGGAGCTAGATATATAGGGTTGTATTTAAGGTCATTCACAGTTGATGACTTGATACAGTATTAGAGGTCTGGTCGCCAGTAAGACACTATGGGGCCCCTGGTACTCTGGAGCAGTGGATCGGAAGATGCTGAGTACGCGCGAGATCTTCCAACTCCACGGTAACTAAGGAAACGGGCGCCATTTTGAATCACATTTTCAGTGACGCGTTCAGTAAACTCCTTCATTAAAAGCTGGAACAGGCTGACAGCCCTGTGGCAGGAGCACAGCTGCAAGGATACTGGCGCTGGTTCTACTGTTGTAAGCTTAGGTGCTGTCACTGTGGTTTAGTTCTGGTGAGCAGTTGGTCCTGTTGAGGCTGTCTTGTCCAGCTGAGCAGTTGGAGATATGTTTGAGTTGTGCGGAGTTGGCTGTTCCAGTTTGTAGATAGCTTTGACTGGCTGTGAAGTTCCCGTGTTTTCTGATTGGTTATGGGAGATAACCTGACTAGGAAAGAGGGGAGATCAGGAAGAGAGAGGGATGCGGCACTCGTCAGCGTGACTGTTCAGTAATCGTGCAAAGAATATCCCCTGTCCATCCAGTTCCCATCCGTACTGGGAGAGTGTTGAACCACCATCGCACGAGCCCTCTAGTTAGACTGTGAAGCATTTGCCTGGTGCTTGGCACCCTCCTGCTGCAGACTGCTGTTCACTGGAATGACTTTCTTCCTCTTCTCCAACTGCAGACGGACATGCAGAGCTGGGAGGAGCAGAGCCAGGGGGCGATCTACTCAGTGGAATACGCGTGCAGGTAAGGCGGTCCTCGCCCTGCACGTGGCCAGGAGGCAGGCGGGCCAGAGGGTGGCTCCCCGTGATGTTTGCTCTCTCTCTCTCTCTGTCTGTGTGTGCCAGCGCAGTGAAGGGCATGACCAACAGCAGCTTCTACTTCAAGAGCATCGACGGGCTCCTCCGGCAGGCCATCGGCCTGAAGGACAGCATTAACTCTTCTCAGGGACGCAGGTAGGGGGCGACGGTGAGGTGCCTCCCAGGGCAGTTAGAACCACCTTCTCTCGCTTTCCAGAGCCAGCTGGAGCTGGACTTACTGGCCATTTCTACATGTACAGTGGGATTCTGATTCTCCAGGACATGAACAGTACAACAGGCAACACCACACATTGCAAAACTGTAAATAATATTCTTTACATAAATATGTACAGAAATAATCAATCAGGACAGTACATTGTAGCCAAGTCAAGAGTCCAGAGCGCAGCGGTGCTTCTGTTCTGAGGCACTGCACAGTTAGCTGTTGAGGATGCGCACTGCAGTAGGGTAGAAGCAGTTCTTGAGTCTCGTGCTCAGTGCTCTAACAGTGCGGTACAGCTGGCCAGAGTGCAGGGGGGAGAAGAGTTTGTGGCCGGGATGGTTGGCTTTATTGCGACAGCAGGTGGTGTGAAGCTCACTGCTTGGTAAAGATTTGCAATGTTACCATTATTCAATTCCAGATGGTGAAGAGCTTTGCCTTTTTTTTTAAATTCTACAGATTAGATTTTTGTTGGTCCTGACAGCGTTTTTAAGCACTCGTATCTCAACCGAACAATCGCCAAATGAAACTGGATTTTTTTTGGGGGAATGAAAGGCGTGTTTTTTAGTGCGATAGGTAATTGCTGTTTACTCAGGAAAGTTGCTGTTGCTCAATCATGTAAAGTTTAACAGCCTCAGCTGAGCCATCCGAGAGCTATGTTGTTCTTGAAAGGAATTGTTCATGACTGAGGAACTCTGGTCATTTTGAGGGTCTCCTTTCCTGACTTTTCTGGGGCACAATCCCACTGGTGTGCTTTGCTTTAGCTTATATGACTCCTGAGCACTGTATCAAGAAATTGAAATTAATGCTATGCATTTATTTTCCTTATTGATCTTAATATCCTGTTTCATGCATTTGCTTTATGTTGTTCCAGAGACCAGTTTCTCATGTTGGGTGCATTCAAATTGGTGTAGCACTGGATCCCATCCAAGACAAACATGTTAACACTCCTACTCTTACAAGTTGTGCCACAGAGATCAGTGTCTAATATTCGGTGCTTCAATTTCACATCTCATCTGAAGGACAGTATCTCCTGCAACACAGTGGCACCATCCTGGGGCACTGGCTTGGAAATTCTGGTCTGGAGGAAAGAGTGCCCCCTACTGGTCCAGCAGCACCACTGGTGAAACAGGATATCAGTATTAATAAGGAAAAGCAATTAGCGCTTATTAGCCCTTTAGGGCCAATGCAGAAGAGCTGAATGCTCTCTAATCAGGCCAGCATTGAGGAGTAGGAGCTGTCGTTCTCCGCCACACACCTGAGAACAGTGGGGTGGTCAGATTCTGGGTGGGAGGTTGCTGTTGCATCCTTGAGTAAGATGTTCAACATGCGCCGTTCTAAACAGGTACTCTCCTGGTTCTTATTGTAAAGAAGACTTGGTTCTCAATTGGAACAGTTAATCCCGGGTTTAAGGTGAAGAACTAAAGAAGTTTTTTTTTCTGTCCCGATTGCTAATGATTTAAAAAAATGAATTTGAAATCCTGCAGGATTCCCGCCCTCAGGGGCTGAGGTTTGTGATTCCCCCCCCCGCCCCACACACACACACACACACACACACACACACACACACACACACACACGTGGGATCTCCGTTTTACTTATGATTTCTTTTCTGTTCTCGGGGGGGCTGTTGCATGCTGATTTAGTGACGCGAGCCCCTCTTCCAGCCCCAGCGCCCCACCTCTGCCGACCCCACCCTCGTCTTCCTGATTCCTCCCCCAGGTTAGTAGCCCCTCTGCTGGCAGGACGCGCCGATCTCCTCTTCAGCTCGGACGCCTTTGCTGCCGTCTCTTGTTTGGATTTCTCTGTGGTGCAAAGAAAAAAACAAAACCTTTCCCCTTTCTCATCGCGGTAAATCAGACCTTGGACCCACCGCCACAGGGCACTGACCGATTCCAGACCCATCATCAAAACCAAACCCCTAAATAAGTAGCAGAAGGAATCATCCCTACTCGAGGACTAGCTGCTTTGGTGGTCTTCTAGTTGGGAATCTTTTGGTGGGTTGAAGTTTTGATTTAATCTAGACCTTTGTCCACTAACACCTTTTTACGTGAAATTCGGTCTGGGGTGGTGTTTCTCTTTTGTCTAAAACTCAGCTTACATCAAATTTTCTTTATGTATTTTAGGATGTTTCAGAATGATGATTTGAGTTAGCCTGTGATGATATTCTAACGTAAACAGGTGGAGGATTGAAATATATTTTATTTTAAACTTGTTTTAATTCACAGCTTGTTGGCCAAGTGCAATGGTTTGTACTTTTAGGTGTAGGAGTCTTCTGTCATCGAGTAGCATGCTCCTTAAAATAGCAGAATGAAACTATTGTTTCATGAACAATAACACTATGATGTGTTTTTTTTTGTCTTTTCCGTTCTCCATGATATTGATCCAGAAGTGCTTGTGTTGTTTAAATTCAAGAATGACAAAAGTCCCACAATTTCCCCTGAGTAGCTGAATGTACTATTTATTTAATCTACACACAGTGTAATACAATAGTTTTGGTTAACCTGTATATAATTGCAATTTCACAACTTGCCTTTGATCTTTTAAGAAAACCAGTACATACACACACGTATCTTCAAACACTTCTTTAAAGCCTTTCTTGAGTATTTTTCTTTCAACTACAGAAAAATTATTTTTCTTGCAGCTTGTATAGTTTGAATAGACATTGTTTTTCTGGTATGTTCAAGAAGTGTGGGCATTCAATTAAATTTTTCCTGCAGGTGTGGTCTGATTTTATGAATATTGAATTTCTGAAGCTTACAGATGCCTCTACCAGCTCTAACACTTAAAAATGTAGTCGTGCGTGATAGACAGACAGTCTGCACTTCTGTGGATAACACAGTAGTGACATTCTCCATATTGTATCTTCTGGAAATATTTCAGCAGGGCAATGTAAAATTCTCTCTCTGAAGTAAAAAGACAATTACCATTTACCTGCAGCCTCGGATTTAGATAAAATCTCCAAATTAGTGTTTGCAGGAAAAATTGTCACCACCAAAGTTTCTCCTCCTTAAATAGGTCAGATTTTTCAGTTTAAAAAAAAGCAAGATGGAAGAGACGCTGTTGGAACAGCAGGAATACATTTTTTTTCAAAACCGCTTTTTTTCTGCAGAACTCTGTCAGTTCTATCGCAGTGTGTGATGATTGCAGATGTTTTTAGATCAAGAAATCATTTTTGTTAGGAAAGACTGAGATGATGTATCAGCATTTTGGAGCTGGAGTCTAACCCGTCCGGCACAGTGTGGGAGTACCCTATAAAAAGCTTGCCAGTTCACTGGGGCGGGGAGCACTCTCAGAGA